TTGTCATGGCTTGGCAAATTTGCAATACCGAAAATCCATAGCATAAATATGCTATGCATTGCATTCATAAACAAAACCAAAGCTGATGCACAAAAAGTGTTTTGCAAAAGCTTTACCATGACAGTTTAATAAAGGTCGCTCACAATCCGTAGCATATTTCTGCAATTGCATAAATTTGTCAGCTCTTATGCACCGAATCGCGAATAGCCCTATTATTTCCACGATTGAGAGAATACAAAGGTTGCGCCGATCTCGGACCGCTATTCCTCTCTTAACGAATTTGACAGAATCGTTGTTTGCATGACGTCACACTTGTGCAACTTGTTTACGTTTTCCTTGCAACATTTTTTCTTCTTCTTCCATTTTTGCTCACGTTTTGGCATTTCTCTCTCGCAATTGCACCAGTGTGACGTCACACAAAAGTTATTCTCAAAAATCCTCTCTGATCGGCGCAATCTTGTATTCTATCATTCTTGCATTATTTCGGTTTTCAACCGTAACTGTGCATGTATGCATACCTTCGTCTTTCACATATGCATTATTTCGGTTTTCATCCGAAACTGTGCATATATGCTTTATTTCGGTTTTTGCCATATGCATTATTTCGGTTTTTGTTATATGCATTATTTCGGTTTTCTAACGAAAGTGTGCATATGGATAATTTCGTTTTTTCTAATATGAATTATTTACTTCTACTTAGTAAGGGTTTTAATCCCTAAGCGCGGCTGAAAGCCGCCTACGCAGAGAAAAGTTCTGCGCAAAAATACGTCCGCCCTTCTTTTCCGGCAATACAGAAAGGAGAATTCTACTTAGTAAGGGTTATAATCCCTAAGCGCAGCCGAAGGCCGCCTACGCAGAAAGAAGTTCTGCGCAAAAGTACTTCCGGCCCCCTTTTCCGGCAACACAGAAAAGAGAATTCTACTTAGTAAGGGTTATAATCCCTAAGCGCGGCCGAAGGCCGCCAACGCAGAGAGAAGTTCTGCGCAAAAATACTTCCGCCCTTCTTTTCCGGCAACACAGAAAGGAGAATTCTACTTAGTAAGGGTTAGAATCCCGCAGAAAGAAGTTCTGCGCAAAAATACTTCCGGTCCCCTTTTCCGGCAACACAGAAAGGAGAATTCTACTTAGTAAGGGTTATAATCCCTAAGCGCGGCCGAAGGCCGCCTACGCAGAAAGAAGTTCTGCGCAAAAATACTTCCGCCCTTCTTTTCCGGCAACACAGAAAGGAGACTTCTACTTAGTAAGGGTTATAATCCCTAAGCGCGGCCGAAGACCGCCTACGCAGAAAGAAGTTCTGCGCAAAAATACTTCCGCCCTTCTTTTCCGGAAACACAGAGTGCATGAGTATGCTCACATAAAAAACGTTTGAAGCAAAGCAAAGCAAAACGAAGCAAAATCTTGGGCAAGTCTCAACTTTTCCCGCTTTGGCAATCAGCTGTCTACATTTGTCTTTTCTTGTGCGCTTGCATTTGCTTTTAATGACAAAGATATTTATTTTTTATTTTTTTATTTATTTATTTTTTACAGTCTGTTAGACTTATATTGCAACAAAGATTTAACATTCTTATAATTAGATTTTAGATTTAAAATATAAATATTAAATATTAAATACAAAATACAAAATGCTCTACAGAAATTTTTAAATAACATTATTTCTTTATCACTGCAATTATTTTATGTCATTATACACGCATGCAATTTCCTGGAAGTTATGTAGACGGTTGGAAAGGCCGAGTTTCCAATCCGCGCTATTCTTTTTGGGTTACTCCATTTATTGATATCTCCTGGGTGGTCAGAAAGGCCGAGTTTCCGATCCACCCAGTCACGCTTTCGTGACGGTTAACGGTTGGAAAGGCCTAGTTTCCTAGTTTATTGTTTATTATCTAAGGGTCTAGGTAGTCGGAAAGGCCGAGTTTCCGATCCGCCTAGTCTCGATATCTTGGTGGTTGGAAAGGCCTAGTTTCCAATCCACGCTATTGTTGATACATCACTATCTTGTAGGCTGCGTTCTACAATAGTCAAATAGCAGCCGCTTGAAAAGAGTGATAGTATCACAATTTTTTATAGCCTCTGGTAATTCATTGAAGCACTTTAAGCCTTTATAGAAAATATTTTTTTTGTCCACTTCTGTTCTATACTTCGGGAGTCTGAAGCTGTTATTCTCTCTCAACAAATATGTATGCGTCTCATTTATATATCGGAGATTATCGCTAAGATAATCCGGCAGGTTGCCCTTCTTAATATTGTACACAAATTTCATAGCGTGGTAAAAAACTTGTTGCTTCACGCTTAACCAATTCAAGGTTTCAAGCATACATCTTGTTGGTGTGTCATACGGTTTGTTGAGGATGAATCTCATCGCTCGGTTTTGCATTTTATGCAGCTTATCTACATGGGAGTCCCCCGCTAGGAAGAAAATCGTGGGGCAGTATATAAAGTGCGGTTCTACTATTGACCTGTACACCAACGTTTTATATCTTCTTCCCAAGTACTTACACGATCTCTTTATAAGGCCAATTTTTTTAGCAATCTTGTTGACTGTATACTCAACGTGCTCATCAAACTTTAGTTTGTTGTCTATGTATATTCCTAGGTACTTGACAATTTTCACCTCTTCGATATTTTCATCTTTGATTTTTAATTCACGGCTTATGGAGTCAGCATTTGCCGCTCTGGAAAATACCATAAAGTTAGTCTTTTTCACATTCAGTTTGAGTTTATTTGAACACAGCCATTGATACAAAGAATTAAGATCTTCTTGCATTTTGACAATCGCGTTTGGTAGTTCCCTATCACTGATCGTTAACAAGGCATCATCCGCAAAGAGTTTTATTTTACAATGTTTGAGAGAACTTTTAATATCGTTTATATATATATTAAAGAGTAGGGGTGCCAAAACTGAGCCCTGTGGTAATCCGATGTCTACGGCTATCTTACTAGACCTCTTTGAATTAACTATTGTTTGTTGCCTACGATTACACAGAAAGCTTCTAAACCAGTCAAGCTCTGTGTTTTTTATACCAATGTATTTTAGTTTATCCAACATTCGGACCCTATCAACGGTTTCAAATGCTCTTTTAAGATCAATAAACACTGCCACTACATTAAGGTGTCTGTTCAGATCTTCTTTCCATTGAGAAAGCACCAGATTCAGCGCAGTCTCACAGGAATGTTTAGCTCTGAATCCAGATTGTTCTTTTATGAGTATTTTATTGGATTCCACATAGTACTGTAGCTGGTTTTTCACAACGGTTTCTAGCATTTTTTCCAAGCTAGGGAGAGTATTGATGGGCCTAAGCTCCTCAGCTTTAACCGTTTTTCTAACTTTCTTGACGGGCACTATTGATGAAATTTTCCATTCTTCCGGTACTGATCCTGTCTGAAGACTCTTATTTATAAGTAGGGCATAGAAATATCCCATATAATCAGCAGAGTCCTTAATAACACTTTCAGAAAGTAGGTTGTTTCCCCCAATTTTCCGCTTAAATTTTTTGGCAATTTGAAGAATGTCTTCCGTTGAGACCTCTTCAAATTTTAGCGTACTTGTGGGAGCTCGTTGCTCGAAAAAATCATAGTTTACACACTCTATATTGGTATGTATTTCCAAAATGCGGTCCACGAAAAAATTATTTAGGTTTTCCGCAATTTCAAAGCTGTCTACGTAGTTGGTGTTATTTATTATCACTTCCCCAATATTTTCTTTGACCTCCGTGTTATTGACTACCTCCTTTAAGTATTTCCACATGAGTCGGCTGTCACCCTTATTTATTTCCACCTTATGCTCTAAGTATTTAATTTTTTTACACCTTACCATTTTCTTATATCTGCTTCTCACTAAATTATATTCACCCCAGTACCCTGACAACACTGCTTTCTCATGGGATTTAGATTTATACTTGTTCATCTCTGTCAATTGCCTATCATACCATTTGTTCCTCTGCCTAATGCGAGTTATTTTTGAGTAAGGCAACTGCCTCATGGCCCACATAATGCAGTGAGTAATATACTCCACCATACCGTCAGCATCGAAAAAATTTAAGTTTGAGAAATCGCACTGCCTTAGTAAACTTGTTAAGTTCTGAGGGTTATATCTAGATAGAGTAAATAGGAATTTTTATTGCTATTATTAATATATATTATTATATTGTTATCTATTTTACAGATAAAAAATATGGAGGAAAAGGAGAACGCAAAAGCTGTCAAAGCGTTTATTGTAGCATACCTTCTGCGTTTCGCGCTTTGTTGTCTAAGTTTGAACTGTCAAGCAAAGCGAGGAAAGTTGTATGTGAATGGCCCTTAAGAAAACACGAAAAAAGACACTAAGGCCGGTCCACATAGAACTTTCGTGTTAGCTTTGGCGTTGGCGTTGGTTTGACAGAACGCACGTTAAAAGTATGCTTGCTACAATGAGCGCTTGGCAGCGAATGCTTGGGCCACTACATTAATATACTAACGACAGATAAATTAATATTTCATATCAATAATTGCATTAAAAACGATATTTCTTGCCCGCACTTGATTAAAAAGGAAAATATTTCACATAATTTTATTTATTTGCAACAGCTGACGAGCGACGCACGCGAAAAGATGAGAGTTGGCCATCTTTTTGCTTTGTGTTGGCGTGAGCGTTGTCGAATTTTGGCTATGTGGACGGCTGCATTTGAATTCATGTATTCATAGTCAGCTGTTGAAGCGACGCCAACGCCAACGCAACGCCAAAGTTCTATGTGGACGGGCCTTAAACGCGACGATCCTATCGCTCTCGTTGCCAAAATCCGAATGAAATCTGATTTTTAATCAAAAAGTTGTTTATTGAAACTACCTTCTTTTTTGTATCATGTACTGTGGTACAAATAAGCGAACATTTGTTGACTTTGTGCTGAATTTTTTCGAGTTAGAAATGCAGCACCCTCTATCACCTCTCCGTTTAGTGACGTTCGTAAATAGAACAAAAAGTAGAATTGGCAGATGAGGCAACGAGCCAAATAACAAACGTGCCCTTTTTTAATCCAGCGCAGCAGTTTTTTCCGCTCATATTTCACCGTACAATGTTTTATTTAACCAAACTTTAAAAGATTGCTTTCGTGCGACCAGGTAATAGAAACAAATTACAGAGTCTTCAGAAATTGTCTGTCTTTACAGCGGCGTTGGAACATGAGAATTGCGGATGTGCTCCGCCGGCTGGATGCGTACCCACGTACGCTTGAGGATTTCAGTGTACGCACTGTTAGTGGTGCTGCAGGTAAGATTATGCGTAGAATTAATAAACCTAGAAAATAAATTGAGTTTTATCTTATAATTGCAGTAACTTTAATCAGCAGTACCATCATAGCTGTACTGATTTTTCTAGAATGTGTTGCCTATTTTCGACCAAATCTCTCAGAGGATCTGTTTGTAGACACCACGCGAAATCACAAACTGCGTATAAATTTGGATATAACAATACACAATTTAGCGTGTAGCTGTGCGTAATTATACGATTTTATTTACCATTACCCCTTCTATAATGATGAGTTTTGTTAAAGATGTGTCACTGGACGCTATGGACTCCTCAGGCGATCAGCACTTGCGCGTTGATCATGATATTTTCAAGCATCGCTTGGATTTGCAGGGTAATCCTTTGAAAGAAACGGAACCAATAAAAGAAATTGTTGCTGTGTCGCCATCAAACAAAAACGCCACTTGTGGTAGCTGCTATGGCGCTGAATATAATAGCACCCAGTATGTTTGATAAATGCTGAATTTTAATACAAAGCAATACAGAGTTAAATACAAAGGTTTCTTGTATTTATTTAAGATGCTGCAACACTTGTGAGGAGGTGCTGAGTTCATATCGTGAAAGAAGATGGAATGTGCAAATGGATAAAATCGAGCAATGTAAAGATCAATTCAAACATAGTGATACAGATGCTTTCAAAGAAGGGTGTAGAGTACAGGGACATTTAGAAGTGAATAGAGTGAGTATGCGTTTGGGTTCAAAGCAGATTATATGCTATTGGTAATCTTGCTTATTAACATACCTTTCATTTTCAGATGGCCGGTAGTTTTCATTTTGCTCCTGGCAACAGTTTTTCCATACGCCAATTTCATATACATGACTTTCAATTCACCGATGTGAAATTGGATCACACAATTAATCATTTATCGTTTGGTGACAAAATTGAGTTTGCAAAAACACATCCACTTGACGGGCTGCACGTCGAATCAGACAAAGGTAAGTACAAATAATAAATTCTCTTCAACTTCAAAATATATGTTCTGCTAGCCGCTGCATTTAAATAATGTACGCTTCATTTCAAAAATATTTATTTTAACGATATTTGCACGTATCTCAGTATATGTATTGTGGGTAAACTAAAATCTATGAAATTATTAAGAAAAGGGCATCATTATAAAAAAAACGCGAAAATATGTTCCGGCATTGCGTTATCATTGCCTTTCCCAAAGCGATCTTCTGCTTAGCAACGGATGCCGGTGCCGATAGCCATGAAAGTGCCAAAAGTTCCGCCGCCTTGTATCATCACTTTTCCCACATTATTAATGAGCTCGCGGCCACGCAAACCATATCTATAAGAAATAAAGTGTGAGCTAATTTGTCAAATTGAATGATCAAAAATCAAAGTGCCACACTCTTTGAGCCACATTTCACACATGCATTATGTAATTGCATAAAGTTGCATCAGCGGCTTTACTTTTGGACGCAAACTCACCGCAACGCTGAAAAGCCACCAAAGAGTGCTCCACTTGCCATGCCCACACAAAAGCCAATCGTGAATCCTGTCTTCATTTTATCAAAACATGATGGGCCCTGCGCTTGGCCATATACTCCGCTGGGCAATGCTGGCATTGTAGTTGCAAGATTGCGGGTTGGTCTTGGTAGGAAGTAGATATTTCCAATTCACTAACGTTAAATTTGGTTTTCGCTACAAAGTGCGACTTGTTTATTATTTAATTACTTTATCGAAATTGATTTTATGAAACCTGGAATTTTTTCATGCAAATTACACACGTTCTCGTTGTTGCTTTTTTGTTTCTCTATGAAATGTCAAATGCGTGTTTGTGGTGAATAATCAGTCAATCGCTTGATGTGGTGAAATGCACTAGTTGTGTGCCGTTTATCAGCTGATTTTAT